GCAGGAGATATTATATCTTCAAGTCTATTCGGTTGCACATTTGCGGTAAATTTGTAGAAAACGCGAATTATTTATGCAAAATTTGACCAAAAAGAACCCAGTTTTCAAAATAAACGCGTATCTGAAATAAATAAAGGAGATAGTGCTCAAGATGTTGTCAAGTGTACTGGAAAACTTGATGAACTTGGTCTAGTCTGCTGGAATTGTCAAAAGACTGGTCATCGTTATCATGATTGTTTTGCAGAACGAAATATCTTCTGTTATGGTTGCGGTACACCAAATGTATATAAACCAAAATATCAAAAATGTAACTTATCAAAAAACGTGACACCTCGTGCACAGAAATGTGCATGACAGCAAAAACGATAAATGCAATTATTGAAAAATTAACATCGGATGAAACACCGGTTTATCCATTGCATGTACAAATGTTAAACATGAATGGTAAAAATAAAATATCTCCAAAGAAAGAAAAATCGAAAAGAAGAATAAAGTTATTCTGGAAAAATGTTAAACAAATTCAGCGAAGTATTGTGTCATCTATTTTTGAAAGACCCAATGATGTTCGTCCTTATGCTGACGTTATACTATTCGGAAAGAAAATCAGTGGTTTACTAGATTCTGGCGCTTCGATCACTTGTATTGGGGATAAATTGGCTAAAACTTATTTAGAATCGGGCAAGCCTTTGAAGCGCGTAAAATCAACATTTCGAACTGCAGATGGTAATGTACAAAGTATTTCTGGATTTATAAAAACCGTTATTTCTTTTCGTGGTGTTGAAAAAGAGATTCAAATTTTTGTCGTTCCATCTTTATCGAAAACCTTATTCTTGGGGTATGATTTTTGGAAATTATTTGATTTAATGCCTTTAGGTTGTATTTCAGAAATTTCTACTGGTCTACCTAAGCCGGTAGAAACAGTCATATCGCGTGAGCTAAGCAGTTCACAACTGCAGCAATTACAGAACGTTATTAAAATATATCCTTCATTTGCTAAAGAAGGCTTAGGAAGGATAAATATTCTTAGTCATGCGATTGACGTTGGAAGTGCTAAGCCAATTAAGCAGAGGCATTACCCCGTATTCGCTGCAATTGAAAAAATGATATATGAAGAGGTTGATCGAATGTTGAAACTGGGCGTTATAGAGGAGTCTAACAGTGCGTGGAGTTCACCTTGCGTTTTAGTGCGTAAACCTGGGAAAAATCGGTTATGTTTATATCGTAGGAAGGTGAATGAAGTCACTGTTAAAGATACTTATCCCTTTCCCCATGTAGACGTCATACTTGGCAGATTACCTAAAGCCTCTTTTATCACTGCACTTGATCTTAAAGACGCCTTTTGGCAAAAACCGCTAGATAATGATTCTAGAGACAAAACAGCGTTTACTGTTCCAGGAAGACCATTGTATCAATTCACTGTTATGCCATTTGGGCTTTGTAATGCCCCTCAAACCATGTCCAGGTTAATGGATAAAGTGGTACCAGCTCATCTGAAAGATGAAATATTTGTATATTTAGATGATCTACTTGTAGTATCGGACACATTTCAGCGCCATATTGAAGTTCTGACTCTATTAGCGAAATTGCTTAGGAATGCCGGTTTAACTTTAAATGTTGAGAAGAGTAAGTTCTGTGTGGAAGAAGTTAAATATTTAGGACACATAATTGGTAAAGGTGTTATTCGCACGGACCCAGATAAAATTTCTGCAATTACAAATTATCCTGTTCCTAAAACTGTAAAAGGAATTCGTAGATTCCTTGGCATGAGTGGGTGGTACAGAAAATTTATCGAAAACTATGTAACTATTTGCGCTCTATTAACTGATCTGACTAAGAACAAGAAGAGATTCGCGTGGAATGATGCAGCTCAAAAGGCATTTCAAGATTTAAAATGTTTATTAAGTTCTGCACCTGACTTACATAGTGCAGATTTTACCAAGCCGTTTTTAATACATTGTGACGCAAGTCAGACCGGTGTTGGGAGCGTACTAGTTCAACTAAATGCTGAAGACGATGAAGTACCTATTGCATTTATGTCCAGAAAGCTAAAAAAAGCTCAAAGGAATTACTCGGTTAGCTGCCATTCTTAGTGTTAAAAAATTTAGGGCATGTATCGAAGGCCACGAATTTACTACAGTTACCGATCACGCATCCCTAAAGTGGCTTATGTCTCAAACGGATTTAAACTCCCGAATAGCAAGATGGGTTTTAAAACTAGAGGCTTTTAAATTTAAAATTGGTCATCGAAAGGGAGTCAGCATATCATTCCCGACGTTCTCTCACATATTAATTCAGACGATGAGAATTCCGCAGACTTACTAGATAATATTCCACAAAATTGTTATGTAAATAGCTTAACAGCTGATGATACTGGACTGTTTGTGGATCTAAATTCACCTCATTTTAAAACAGAGGATTATCGAGCCCTAATTCAGAGCATTGAAGGAAATGCTAATAAACTGCCGGACGTAAAAATACTAGATGGATTTGTGTACAAGCGAACTCAACACGAAGTAGGTGAGCAATTACATGACGATTTATGTTGGAAGTTATGGATTCCAAATACGATGATTAATGAGATTATTTACAAGGCACACAATGATCGACTGTCTTCACATTTAGGAATAATCAAAACGATAGAATGAATTCGACGACTTTACTATTGGCCTAGCTTGGGTATTGACGTAAAAAATCATATAAATGGGTGCGATATTTGTAAAATGACAAAACACCCTAATTATATTATACGACCACCCATGGGCAAAACTACTATGACCCACAGGATTTTTCAAGGTCCTTATCCCCGAAGTAGGACAGGTAATATTGGGATATTTGTAGTTGTAGGCCACTAATCGAAATTTCCTTTCCTAAAGGCTGTTAAAGAACTAACCACTGATGCAATTTGCAAATTTTTAGAAGAAGAAATTTTTCACGTTTTTGGAGTACCCGAAATTATCGTATCAGATAATGGTGTACAATTTAAAGAATTGGTTAATAAATATAATATTACTCACACTTTTACAGCTGTTCATTCACCTCAGGCTAACGCATCGGAACGTGTTAATCGAACTGTTATTGCTGCAATTAGAGCTTATGTCTACGTAGGTCAAAAAAATTGGGATGAAATGCGTAGTCAAGTTGCTTGTGTGATCAAGCGCTCACTCTGCGATTGGGACTGAGCCTTATTATATCACATTTGGCCAACATATGATTACAAACGCAAAATGTTATGTATTAATTAAACAAGCGAAAATAATGGAAGACGGGACTGCAAATTTCTCCAAGGAAGATTCCTTAAATATCATCCGGAAACAAGCTTGTAATCATATTGAAAAGCAGTTTAAAAAAAATGAGAAAAATTACAATCTGAGAACTAAGGTGGTAACTTATAGGGAAGGACAAGAGGTATTCAGAAGGAATTTTAGACATTCTAATTTTGAAAAAGGACAATGTTCTAAATTCCCTCCTTTATTTATAAAAGCAAGGGTAAAGAAAAAGTTAGGTAATTCATACTATGAACTGGAGAATTTAGGAGGTAAATATATTGGGACTTATCACGCAAAAGATATACGTCAGTGAAGATCATCTTTGTGGCAAATTTTTTGTTGCCCCAAAGCTGATTCTTCGTGGGGGGATTGTAATCGACACAAAGGAGGAAAATAAGGTTTTTTTTGTCAAAAAAAAAAAAAGAAGAAAAAAAAAAAGTTTTACGATTGGGACGGAGGTTGTGTTTTTTTTTTGAGAAAAGAAAAATAAAAAAAAAATTCCGACCATACACCTGAGAAGGTGTGCAAATGTGTCACCTGAAATTTTACTTTGATATTTGAAATCCCATCTTTAGTGCGAAACGATTTCCTGTGGATGACGGAGGGGCGAGGTAAAAGTAGTATGGTTAGGGCATAGATTTATATTAGTCAAAAGTTTTTTTCAAAATTTTTATTATTATTATTATTATTATTAAGTTCGCCAGAGAAATAAATTCTAAGACTAAACTCTTAAAAGCACTAGCATCTAAGGCTATCGGCCTTTATTAAAAACTCTACCGCACTTGGGATTTGAATCCACGACCACTGAGTTGCTAGTCGAGACTCTTGCCTACTCGGCCACCCAGGCGGATCAAAATTTTTTAGTAAGCACGTTTTATTTAAAATAATGAAATATTGTAGCGAAGCAAGAACCTATCACGTATCTGAATACATTTTATTTGGACCCACCCCATCCGACGAACCAGGCCGGAAAACATGTGACCAAAAAAAAAAGTAAAAATGAACAATAACATCTGTGCATAGGTTGAAATCCCGAATCGTTACAATACCCGCTGCTTATGCAAGCCTGCCTCACAGGTAAAATTGACCGAGTTAAGAACAAGTTTCTAGAAAGTGGATTTTTCCTTTAATTTGTGTTAAAAAAAATTGTAAAGCAAAAACATACGTAAAATCTTAACTTACCCGAGTTGCTAGGGAATATTACTGTGACTGCGATATAAATCTCCACCGCATTTAATGACTGCATTATGAGGCCACAAAGTTGATTTATTCCAATTTGGCATTGGGCTGGTTGATTATCTCCAGTAAAGTGTATGGTATCTTAAGTAACATCGTCTTTGAATAATAGCTGAATGTTTTACAAATTTTATTTCAAATGAAAAAAACGAAACAATTTAACGGAAAGTAAGCATTGAACGGTGGTAAGATACCTGTCATGTATTTATATATTTATTCCTGGGAAATTTCGGTTGTACTTTTTTATTAAAAAAAATATTATTATTTTTTTTTCTTTTTGGCTTCTTGAGTAGAGATGGATTAAGCCAATAGATTTGTGGCTTATATGTCCAAACAAAATAATTAGGTATTACAAATTTCCAGTTCTTTGTTACATTTTGCAACGTTTTGCTTCAAAGCATATGCTCTTAGACAACAGCCCTGCATTTAGATGTAAACAAGAAACAGCTGTTCTCAGTATAAAATTAATTTTAGCAAAAAGTTGTCGAAGGTCTTTTGTTCTTTATTATGTTAAAATATGTTTTACTTAGTGAATTATTTTTTATAACTGCACAAACAGCGACTTATGACTGTTCAAATTTATTAATGGGTCAATATTTATGTCCGGACCCTAGTAAAAATCAAATTGATCAGAAAACCCAGCAATACGTAGGATGTGATAAATCTGGAATTGCTAAAGGTGGCGAGCTATACCCCTTATGTCTCAAAAAAATGTTAACTATTGTCAATGCGTTTTTTTTTAGTTTGGTGCATCGCAGCTGAAGGTATTGAATGTGAGACTACCGGTAACAATACTTTTACAAATGATATGCCATGTAAATGGACGTACGTGTTATATTTCTAGCATTTTTCAAACGAATAATACGTTTTTAAAATTTCAGTAATGGCTACCATTTGGATACCGTTCTGTTACTTTCCGTATTTACGGGCATGTTTGGTTTGGATCGTTTCTATTTGGGCTACTATGGCATAGGCTTATTAAAAGTTAGCACATTGGGCGGTTTCTTTATTGGCCAATTAGTCGATATTATTTTGATTGCTTTACAAATTGTACGACCCGCAGATGGCTCTTATTACATTATACCATATTATGGAGCTGTTGTTGAAATCATACGAAGCGATAATGAAACTTACCGTGTCCCTAAGGATGACTGGTGAATTATTACTTATAATTGGGTAGTTTGTTGAGAAAAAGGACTGAAATGTTTGTTTATTACTTTTAATTTGATCGCTATATTAATAATCATATGTAATTTGCTTTATTTGTAATCATTTGATTTTGTTTTTAGATAATATGCAAGAATTTCCAACGAAAAGAACAAACTTAGTCCTATTGTTTGTATTGAATTACTCAGAGTTGTTTATTCGAATTGTTCTATTTTATTGCCCGGTCAGATAAGCCTCTGAACGTCATGAAAACTTTGGCGTTAAGCGTACATAGTATCTCTGATTTACTCCTTTTTTTAACTTGTGAGATTTTTAGGGACACTGGTGACTACTTGCAGTAATTAAAATAATTTATAAACAGTGAAATAAACTAAAATCAACTGTGGAAAGTACTCTCTTAACACGTCTGGGAAATAGCTTTCAATATTAATTTTACGGATACGCAAAGAACCATTTGGTTAGACTAGCTTGGAAATTTATTTTCTTTAAAATTTCATATGAAAACATATGTCTAAACAAAATTTCTATATTTAAATCAAATACCGATGATATGCGAACCAAGCATTATATGCTTCTAGTACCCGATAAACTGAGCAGAAGACAGAATTAACACCAAAACAATCAGAAAATTTCGTGGGCTTTTCTGTAGATATTTGAAAGTTGTGCGTGCGGACGGGATTCATTTTTATGTATAACTATATATAAATGTATAAAATAGCTTTCCACGGTCGAGAATGTTTGCATTGTTGGGGAAATTTCTCATGGTCGGGGATCTGCATTTATTGAAAGGAACTCTGTGTATTTCTGTAGGAATTCTTTTTACGAAACTATATAAAGGGAAGGACCAGATGAGGGCTTTTAGCCGTTTTAGCGAAAGTTCAACTCAATGCAATTCAATCAGTTTCAACAAAGCAATTTCGCAAGTACAGAAAGAAGTTGCAAAAAATGAATAATTGCGAAAATATAAAGAGAGGAAAAAAAAAGTTTAAAAAATACAACATGAAATTGAAACATTTGCATAAAACTGAAGTAACAAAAAACCCAAAAAATATTAAAATTATAAATTTGATTTTAAACAAAGTTATAAAATAATATATATTGGCGGTAACTGCATTTACATCGTTCATTTAAAATATATTTCATGTATTGATAAGGAGATCCAGCTAAGATTCACATACTTATTCTGGAAATCTCTTTGGTGTCTCCGTTGTTTCTAGCAATTGAAAAATGAAAGAAGAAAAGATTCATCGGGGAAAGGTGATTGTACCTGTCAAGATATTTAAAAAAAAAAGCGTTGAATTCAATTTCTAAGATAGGAAATAAAATATGAAATATGCAAAGAATAATTTTATTGGTAAGGAATCACAGGATTAAAAAAAAAAATACAATGACTCTCAGCGCTTTTCACCTCTTTAACGTTACACTGACTGTTTCCTGTAATTGTGTTGAAATATATTCTTATATAAAATGCATTTAATTTTAAATTAATGTGAAATTCTGAACGAATTAAGCAACAAAGCCTTCACTTTTTTCAAGTTATTGGTGCTTAACTTTTGTATGATCTCTCCATGTTAATCTTTTGTCAATATGTAAGCCAAGATATTTTAGGCAGTTGTCAGCCGTTATTGCGACTCAAAAAAAAAAAAATGCACGAAACATTTGCGGTATGTCTGGATGAAAATAGACATTTGCCTTGTCATCTGTGATAATGAAACTAAGCTTAATTCGATCCAAATTCTATTACAACAACTTTTAGTTTATTGTGGAAATGCCCGTAAAATCAGCCACGTAGTAAATTGGCCCGTTTAATCTACCAATTTCTCTCTTTGAGTAATGGTGCCTTCACAGCAATTAGAAAGAAAAGAATGAATGTATTCTCCGCTAGAAGAAGCAATAGAAAAGAATTTAACACTGGACTTGGAAACATCACAAAAAGTATGTTTGACTTTCAAAGCGGATTTTAAAGCCCTCTAACGCCGCCGGGATATACAAGGGCCATGTTGAGGTCTGTAAAAAAATTACAGACTCGGGCATGTCTAATACGGAATGTCATGATTTCTTCCGAAAACAATTTAAATTTGACGACGTCGAAAGTTATCAATTGCAACTGATAGATGCCATTTACATGGAGGCTTTCAAAACGTCAACTGAGCCCCCCGAACAATATACAATGTACAATTGTTGTCAAGTTTATTTCTCTAATGATTTCAATGTCTTTACAATGATGAGAATGAAGTGTCTTTGGTTTGAATACCTAAAAAATTTTTATCCAGTTTTTTCTATTAAATTTCCGCAAGTCTGCTACTTTTTACGAATGTCTTTGATCCGTTAATTGTATCCCAACAATATAACGCGACAATAGAACATTTCTGTCTTTAAGATCAACAACTCAACATTCTTTGCTCAGCATTCTGTGCTTTGTACGCATACATTGACAATTGTTTTATTTTTTTCTTTTGTTTTTGTATGAAGCCTATTTGCAACTGCGTCTTATAACAGCCATCGAATATGTAGAAGTGCTTCAATTATGTTGCAACAATATAGAGCAATCCCGGTATACTTCCTTATAGGCTTTTCTTATTGATTTCTCAATCTTTAATATTTAATGAGAAAAAGAAAAAAAAAGAACAGACAGTTCCACCCGCTCATCTATACGCCGAGTAGTCTGCATTGAAGGTATTCTTTTTGTAATTGTCAGATGTGTCGATTAGCTAGAGTTTCTTTCAACGGCATAGGTGTTACTGGATTTTCCATTAGCTTTAAAAAATTACTTTTTTTTGGCAAACACATTTTGTATTTTGTATCCCTTTTTTGTACAGCTTGAATCACATACTTGCGCACGAACGAACGGAATAAATGAAAGAAATTTAAGAATTTTTGAGACTATCTCATATTTTCATAGTCAGGAATGCTTTCGATGAAAAAAATTATATGCGAAGAATAAGATATGATTGCACGATCCATTTTTCATTCGAATTTTAACTTTTCAATTTATTTATCAAACTCATTTACCATAAACTAATAAGAAGTTTAGCATGTGGAGCAGAAAATGCAAGGAATATTGTGCTTTTCTGCGATATTTTACATAGCATTGATATTTTAAACACTTCAATGCTTTGAAAGGCAAAACATGTTTCTAGTGGTACATCATAATTTACCCAAATGTTAGAGTATTCGTATAACTACAAAGCCTATAAAGCTTATCAAGTCATGGTCGCTGAATCCTAATAAAACGTTGCCGGAATATTTTTTCCGCGATCTAAGATATAACGACATTTCCTGTGTTATTTTATATCTCTTTCCACTCCCAAGGTAAACTCTCAACAGTCTATTAACATCCTGCAATTTCTTTGTGTATAGAATGTTTCGATAGGGATTTCTTTACTTTGCATCCTCAGACTTCTTTCCTTATGCCCGGCCTAAGTAAACGGCCTAAGTTTACGGTAAAACGCGTTATAAAAAGATTTTAAAAATGTCAGTAGTAACCAATACTTTTTACTCTTTTTTATATCAAATATAATAATAATTTTATGAAAAAAAGAAACATTTTAAATTTTGAAAATGTTTGGGATTTTTTGAATTTGCTGAAAAATAAATTCAGTTAAACTGACTTCAAACAAAGCAGAATTTGTTGAGTTTGCTGTACATTCCTCTCTCTTGCTGGGACTGTATTATAAAATTATATATTCGAGTACAAGGGTATTATATACAAGGGTATATATATTAATATAATATTTTGTATTTAACATCTTTGGTTTATTTCTGACCGCGTATAAAATTTGCCGCCAACTGAAAATGATTCTCAATAATTCCAAACATGTGAGAATAAGCGTCCACCTTGTTTACAATAATATTTTCTACCTGTTCACTGTTCGTATATACACACGTACTTATGTGTACAAATGTGGTGTTTATTCGCTTAATAGAACAGAATATGCTTAGCTAGTATATTAGATTTCTTGGTAATTTCCTTGCTCTTCTATGCATATCGTGGCGCTCAATAAAAATATGCATACATTTCCAATTAGCGTAAGATTCTGAACCTGTTTAGTTTTATTCCTTTGTTTTTCTGATTTCATTACAATCACCAACTTTTAGCTGGTAATTATGCCACATACTAAGTTTGAATTTGTTATGAATGTATTTTTATTTGATGACCTTGGATCAAGTTTGAAAATGCTCGGGATAAGCTACCTGTTAAATCCACAGGACAAATAGAATACCTTCAATCAAGAGCCCTAAAGACAGTTGATAAACATTTTCAGGTACATTCTATGAGTAATCGTAAAGATCAAAGCTCGTTTACTCGTTCGTTAAGCTAGAGGGTGAAATTAATTTTTTTTTTCTTTATTGTTATCGTATTCCTATCAAAAGTTGGATCTTCATATTGAACGCATGCTAATAGTATTGATACTTAACAATGTCGTAACTTCATTATTAGTTATATGATTATTTTATCATTTCGTGTATCGCATCGACGGTTGCACAACAGCCGATCGTCAAAGATCTTTAAGACAGCATTCTTAACATTTATTTAGAAAAAATCACTACATAATAATATTTCCGCGTACTAAATTGATGTCATTTGTATGAAAAAGAAGTGGCATGCAGTTCCGCACTTCATATACGAATTCTCACGAAAAGTGAAGTACGTAAACTGTTCATCTATTCGTCTGCCCAACTGCGTGTAGTATCTGCGATAAATGTTCTCCTGTTCGCGAAAATTAAGACATCGCCTACAAATTTCGAAATCTTAACCGATCAAATTACCCGCCTACAACGTCCGTACGCCTATGCAACAAAAACTGTCAGCTCATTTGCTTACTGTGTTTTTTTTTTGTTTGTAACTTACGAAAAAGAAGAAATCCGCGGGCCCTCTACAAAGAAAAACAATTTTATGGAATAGATTTATGTTTTTTAAAACTTACTCCTTTATCAAGATTTCGGCAAACTGTAAAGATAGACCTTGCACTTTTGATTAGTATTTTCACCAAATAAACCTCCAAGTATCACTTGTATGCCATTGGCGGCATTGATGGCTTTACCGCGACAACTGACTAGATATATTAATAGCTTTTGGCCAACTCT